TTCCTGCTCTGTGAAACTCCCAAGGGCTCTGCTCAATGTCAGCTTTGGCAGAATAAGTAGTAGTGCCCAAGAATAACTTGTCTTATTGTTAGATCCTGTGAAAAATAATCTAGATTCACTGCAGTCAAAATAGCACACTTCGATTGTCCAAGTTCCAACCTATATCACATGCTACCAGTGTTTGTCCTTCTCTATCTTCCAGTAAGGGAGAAGTGATGTGATACTTTTTCAGTGTGTACTGTTATTGAATCTTACCTGATAATACAGCTAGTAATGAAACTGTATGTTATTAAGTGCCTCATGTGCTTCTGTATCAAAGAAAGGTTATTGTGTCAAAGAAAATAAGTTATAGTGACCACTTACATGTAAGACTTTATCAAAATTGTGCAGTTTTCTTTATTATTTTGTCATAGGTATTATGCTCATTAAGCTTATATAAATTTATATTTTCATAAAAGTAACTAAACAAAACTTCACATTAATGTTTTCCCCTCACAATTAACCTTGATTCCAAAAGAAAGTTTTAATTCTCCTGTCCTTTGAAATTCATTGCCCATGAATTATTTCATTCTTATATTTTGATTTACTCTGTTTAATTTTTTCCTCTTTGGTCTGCCTTGAAAAGAATAAAAAATATTTTGAATATTACTATAGGTTATAGTCTGTGGAGTATACTAATGGAAAACAGTAAAAATAACCGACATTTGTATAGTGTTTTACACTTTGCAATGTTTTTCTTTATCTTTATTATCTCATTGAATTCTGACAAAAAAAAATGGGTGGAGTAATTGTAACTATGAATTCCTAATTTCACAAATGAAACAACAGACTCAAATATAAGTGAATCATAATCATACATATAATAAGTAAATCAGTGTCTCTAGATACCAGAATTTTATGTTTTTCATAATATGCTATAAAACATGACATCTTGAATTATTTCATGTTCTACAACTATAATGCATTTATTATTTGGTATGGACATTGATATGGACTGTTTTCACTCCGAAGTCATATGTCAAAGCCCTGACTAACATGGGACTTATCTGGAAATAGAACCTTTAAAGAGGTCACTAAGATTCAAAGATGCCGTAAGGATGGGGACCTAACCCAATAAGACTTATGTCCTTAAAAGAAGAGAGTTACCAGAGATGCACAAGCACAGAGTAAAGGCCATATGAGGACAGAGTGAGAAAGTGACTATCTGTAAGTCAATGAGGGGGGCCTCAGGAAAAACCAACCCTGCTGGTACTTTTTCTTGGACTTTCAGCTGCCAGAACTGTGGGAAAATGAAATTCTGTTGTTTATGCTACCTAGACTATGGTATTGTG